CACACACACACACACACACACACACACACACACACACGCACAGAGGGAGGAGACCTTGGAGGAATGGCGCGGGAGGAGGAGGAGGAGGTCGGAGATAGAGGAGCTTACAAGGACGGAGACGAACCCAGTGTGCGGCGGCCAACCTCGAGCGACCGTTTTCGAATGTTTGAATTCAGAGCCCCAGATTGTCGCGCCTAGGGTCTGGTATTCTGCAAAGATGTCCGCAGTGTAGGGAGGGACAAACCGGGTAAAACAGGGTGCAGGCCCAGGGCCCAACGGAGAGGTGCAGATTGCAAATTTGCGCCCCGGCCTCACAGGGGCATATCACAAAGATTTCGGCCCAAGAGGGCATTCCGCTCTACCCACATGATCGGCCACATCTTTTAGGGGCATTTTGGCATTTATCTCAACCTCGAGGGGCATAACGCAAAAATTTTCTCTTCATAAAATTACCGTTGCCCATGTCAATGACTCAATGAATCTAATATGGATTTTGTGCGCGATGCGCACTGAATTACCATTCCGTAAGCCCAGGCCTTCCATGCTGCCAACGCCGTCTTCACTTCCCCTGCCCGTAATGTCATCCCTGCGAGTGGAATTGCCACAAATGCAAGCACCCAGTCAACACTCACGACCAATTGCACAAATGCACCAAGGCAATGCTCATGACCAGCGGCAAGCCTTGTCAAAGATCAAGCTCCCCCCCACCAAACAAGGCAAGGTTTGCTAACCCTCATGTAGCAGGCGATGCCAGAGCGGAGTGTTCGGAAAAGGTTAATAAGGCCTTACAACGCAACACACAACTTTACAACTTCAAATCTCAAACATGTCCTCCAATTTGTGAGGAGCAAGGTGCCAACACTCAAAAAAAAAAGAAAAAAAAGAAAAAAAAAAGGTGCCAGCACTCAGCTCCTAGAGGAGATCTGATGTGCTGTCTCACAGTCTCAAGGTTTTTTTTGTTTTTTTTTAGCAGCCTCAGGGATTAATAATACGTACATGGATGTGTACCTTTCCCAGCCTTTTGGCTAAAAAGGGATCGAGCGTAGTAATCTATTATTAAAAAACTAACCTATATTCTTCACTCATATCCTTCCTCTACCTACCTTCCTATTAAGTCCAGTTTCTAGCATTCGTCCTACGAGTTATGGGTTGAGCCGATCGGCTCAGGGTTGAGCCTATCCTCTCAGGGTTGATCCTAACTCCTACCGTCTTCACCCAAATAGAACGCCCGGTCATTATCGCTGCATCTGGACTGAAAGTTGGGCCAAATGCAGCTATAATGACCGGGCGTTCTATTTGGGTGAAGACGGTAGCAACTGGCGGTGCGGATATTGGCACTCTCCACCGTAATCTGTTCTGATCAGCCTCAATATTTGATCAAATCATAAAAGTGAAAAAGTGTGTACATGCGTCTGTACAGAAAAAGTGCATACATGCATATTTCCTACCGACAGTCGGTAACAGAATATGAAGTTTCCGGCGAGGGTTCAGATTTCCTTGAGAGTATGCGGAGGCGGCATGGTGCCCGTAGTCCCAACAGCGGTTGCTGAATTCCCTCCCCCGGGTTGGGTTGACATAGCTGGATAGCCTAACATTTATTTATTTCCCGCAACAGGACGGGGTGGCTGGAACGGTGGTGTGGAGGTGCAAACTAATTGCAAATTGGACTGCGCTTTGAGCCCGCCAGGGCTTGATACCTGGACCTAGGTAGTGCGTGTTTCGTTTGGAGGGGGGGGGCTTTGCAGGGTGGGCTATGCCTACATTTATATTTTACGGTGGGTCAACAGACGTCGATACGTCTCATTAGCAAAAAAGGAGAAGGGTAGATTTGTTTTTCCTTCTTCTTTTTTTTTGGGGAAAACCGCAGGCGGGCTGTTAGCGGGGGTGGTATGAGCAGCCATCCCTCTAGCCGGCCCGGCTGAGGAGGAGGGTAGGGTATAAAATTACAAACATACAAATTGGCATGCAAACTTTCTCTGTGCCGTTCCAATTCTAAGGACTCGCCCCTATAATACGTATTAAAGAGATAGCCTCAAATTTTGGGGCTTTAAACCCCGGCTTTTAACAAATTGACATCCCATCGAGATTCTTGAGTCCTCGTATTCTGGAAGCAAATCAGCAGATTAATGCTCCTCCCCCCTCCCCCGTCTTCGGGTATGGATGGAGGGTTAGCTATGGCACAACGAGGATGCTACCCTCCCCCCCCCCCCCCCCCCCCCCCCCCCCCCCCCCCTCCCCCCCCCCCCCCCCCCCCCCCCGCCTTCCATCACTATTCGCTCGGCAGACAGAGGCTCGGAGATGGGAAACGACTTCCCGATATCGGCATTGACAGTTATTTGGAAGATAATCCCACTCGTATGCGAAGCGGCAACCAATATGACGTCAGATGCTTCGCGCTTAAACCGGCCGCAAGTACACCGTCGAGACCAAGTCATTCCGACAAGTTCAGAGCAGATGAGCAGTGCTACCGGACCAAAATGGCTGGCGGTGCAGCCTGCCAAAAACAAAACACTGCGCTGGGCCGCTGGCGTTTCAGCAAAGCTTGGCGCGCAACGGAAATCCGAATCCGCCTCGGCAAAAAGTACATACATAGACTCTGAGATGATCGAAAGGAGAGAGCACGGTAGTCAGCAGCAGCAGTAGGTGCTGAGAACCTGGACGGGAACCTGGCCGGGAACCGGACGCAGAGCGCGGTTTTCAGCATGTGCTGCTTCCCCCACGAATAGATTGGAGTCATCCAACAAGGATGGCTGTATTACAGTATTATTCATTTATTAGGCTATAATAGCCCGCACTTTTCTTTTCTTTTCTTTTCTTTGAAAATACAGCTGTCTTCTCCTCATCGGGGGGACAAGCTGTATTTTACTGCCCTATTTTCTTCTCTCAATACTGTGGCCATTTCACACTAGCTACCGTCTGCACCCGCGAATAGAACGCCCGGTCATTATCACTGTATGTGGACTGCAACTTGGCCCACATGCAGCTATAATGACCGGGTGTTCTATTCGGGTGAAGACAGTAGCTACCTACCTGCCCTACATTATCCACTTACATACCCAGCACGGAGGCTCTTCCATCCTTCCTCAAGCTACCTACCTATTATTATACTCTAAGCCCGGGAGACAATCCCAATGGTTATGGGTCCACCGAGCGCTACCCACTTGCAGGAAAACAGTGATCACTGAACTACACTACCCCCTAAGTCTACCAGCTAAGTACTACGGCACAGGGCGAAGCTTAAATTCACTGGCCAGAACTAAGCCTTCCTATGGTTATGGGTCTACGCCTACCTCTCTCTGCTCAGTGCGGGGAGCAGTACCCAAGCTCCTAACACCTGGCGCAGGCTGGAAAGAGCCCGCACCTTTTTTTTGTTTATTGTAACTTTTTTCCTTTTTTTTAAAACCCTCATAGACGTGTTCGATCAGGTGCGGGCACGATATGTTCGCTTGTTTTTTTTAACTCTTTCCAACATAAAAAAGGTTTCACTTTCGGCAAAAAAAGGAAAAAATAAACTAAAATAAAGGTTTTGCTTGATCCATCATCATGTTGACCACTCCACTCTCGTGTGTTTTCAATGTTTTTTTGAACTTTTTTGAAGTTTTTCCTCTTTTTTTTTTTTTACTTTTTCGATTTTTAATTTTTTTTTTTGCCTCTTTTTTTTTTTTTTTTACTTTTCGGAATGTTTTGCGGCTTTTGCCTCTTTCTTTTCTTGCCAAGTTTCTCGCAGTCTGCCCGTTCACAGGTGTAGCTTGCTATAAATACCTGAAATGAAGAAAATCCCGAAGACCATGTAGTTTGAGAAACCAAGCTGTCGCATCAATGAGCCCGGCACCGGCCACAAGAACCCAAGGACGATGGCCGATATCAAAACTGGGGAGCAACAGGCAATTCCCACAAAAAAAAAAAAAAAAAAAAAAAA